ACCCACACACACCCATAATGCTCACCAACACCCTCCAGTCTGTGTACTGCCCTTTCTTTCTTCAACATTGAGCCATAAGACAAGCACAGCTGGCCCTGGCTGGTGTGGCTCAGTGGACTGAGATCGGACTGCCAACCAAAGGGTCACCAGTTTGATTCACAGTCAGTGCACATGCCTGGGTTGCGGGCCAGGTCCCCACAATGGGGCGTGTGAGAGGCAACCACACATTGATATTTCTCTCCCTCTCTTTCTCCTTCTCTTCCCCTCTCTCTAGAAACGAATAAATACAATCTTAAAAAAAAAAAAAAGACAAGCACAACTGGGCCTCTTGCTTTTAAAAGGCATTGGAGAATTCTCCACTGACTTCACTGCTGTGAATCTTCTTTCTTTTTTGTGAAAATGAATAATCACTACCTTTGTTGGCGCCCTGCTTTGTTCCAGAAAGGAAGGAAGACGGCTTTAATCACTACCTGATTGACTTCTCTCATTCCCATGCTCCCTCCTCCTCTTCATAAGCTAACGTCTTCATGCTGATTTTGTTTTAAATGAGGAGCAACCATGCCTTCACATTTATCAAGACAGTATCGGTCTCCCAAAAAGGGATGAAGCTTGATCTGTTCATTCAACAAGCATTTACTGAGTTTCTGCCAACTAGATGGGGCCACGGCTCCCACCTCACCACGCTGACGGTCTAGCGGGGGGCCCAGGAATTAAGCAGGTAGTCCCAGCAGAGGGAGGGGAGTGCAGGACAGGGAGATGGAGAATGCTCTGGAACACGCAGAAGGGACACCTCCTCCAGACTCGGGAGAGCAGAGAAGCTTCCCCGAAGTGACATTAGTTGAAAACTTGAGGAACTAGATGCTATTTGAAGGCAACGAGTAGTAATGCCACCGAGACACCAGGGAAAGCGGATCTCAATAATGTATCCAAGTGAGAGTTACTTCTGAATCCAGATATGACAAGTGGTTCGCTTACCCCCGTGCCCATATAACCCACGGACTGGCCACAACTCACCCAAAATGCTCTGTTTTATCACATATTTCCAGTTCCTTTATTTCTAATTATATTCTACTTTCTCTGAACACAAATTGTGCTATTCACTATCTTTACCAGCCTCTCAGCTATGAAGCATTTCAACTCAACATGACAAGGGCCTGTGTGGGGACAGTGTGATAAATATGGGTGTAACCCTCCACAGGGACACGCACCCACAGAGGCGTGGGACTGAGAAAGGCCGTGTGACTCTCCACGGGCCACTCTGCTCCCCACAAACCTTGCAGGAGTGGCCCGGCCCTACCAGTCCTGCTCGTGAGACAAATACCCCCACTCCGAGCTTATCTCACGCCTGACACATGCGCCTGTCATATCCTATGGGGAGCGGAGTGGGCTCTTGACCCCCAGGCCCCTAACCTAACAGTCGGATCTTTCTCCTCCGTTCAGTTGCAGATGGTACATTTCCTGCTTCCAAAGAATACTGATATTTTCTTTAATCGTTTCTACATTTCATGTCAATGTACAATCACAATGCTGGGACTGAAGAAAAATAAGCTTTGACCATCTGCTCTTCCAAAAATCACTGAACATGCTATGAGCTAACTGAATGGTTGGGTGAAATTACTTTTTAAAATCTCGTCCAATCCTGATATTTTATAATTCTATGACATAATCAAAGCCATTTTTCTTTGAAAGCGCTACCCCAGTAAAATCAGCCCAGGGTGAGATGTTACTGTAGAATAAAAATTAGGTTGCTGTTTCAATAATATTTGGTTTTTCAAGGTTGCCCAAACATAATCCCACTGTCAGTGGGCAAAGCTGCTGCTGCACACGTAAGTCAACCCAGCCTGGGCATACTCGGTCACGTGATTTACAGCCAAAGACAGAGGGCTTTACTTCGACGAACCAGCTGAACACAAAATTTAACAAACACAAAAGAACGGCCTAAATGTGATGGACGGTATGCTTCTGCCCGTCTAAGGGTCTGAATTATTTTGCTATCCTTCACAAACTGAGTCTTAATTGTGTTTTGAGATCATCTGAGTACCAGAAAAACTAGACTCAGTCTTTTCGGCTTTGTAAGTCAGTCTCACAGACATGTAAGGAGAGCCACACCCCCCTTCTTGTGCCACCTAAGCTCATACACATCTTTGATGCGCTCTACCTTACCCATACAAAATGGAAAACATATTGATAAGATGCACATCTTCACAACTAATATCTCAATTAGTAGCTCGAGTTGTCATTCAAAACGGAAAAGAAAAGAAAGAAGAAAAAGAAAGTGAGCCACATTGCTCACGTCTCTCACCAGGTGCAACATGCAGGGTAAAAGCGCACCGGAAGTACACTACACACTTGCTCTTCTGAGCCAATATTCGCTTCCAGTACTCTGGAAACAGCCTCAAGGTCCCAGGCAGTTCCTGGCAGCAAGCAGCTAACCTTGTGGGTTCAAATCCAGCCACTTCCACTTCCTAGCTGTGTAATCCTGGAAAGCAATACAACCTCTCTGGGCATTACTTTCCATGTGGGGAGGAAAAGATATAATCATAATGCCACCTTCCCCATAAGGTTGTTGTCATATTTCAATAATACCCTCATCTGACCTCTATCTCTAGTTCACTCTAAAACTAGTTGCTTTTTTTAAAAGATTTTATTTATTTATTTTAAGACAGAGAGGAAGGGAGGGATAAAGAGAGGGAGGAGAGAAACATCGATCAGCTGCCTCCCACATATGCCAAATCCACAACCCAGGCAGGCACCCCGACTGGGAATCGAACCAGGACTCCTCGTGTTGCGGGACGACGCCCAACCAACTGAGCCGTAACAGCCAGGGCTAAAGCTGGTTGCTTTGAAGAATTTTGAAAGTGTTACAGGAATATAGGAAAATAAACACGGAGAAGCCACGAGTCCTAAAGAGAAAAGTTTTATAATTGCCATGGCTCAACTGGTTGAGTCACATTTAATTAATTGGCTGGAATTTCCGAGGATAAAAAAACAGACCTTCCTAACAGAACACCTAAGACCAAAAAAAATGTGGCATCAGAGTTGGAGAGGGTCTAAGAAGTTGCTCTTGAGGACTGGGGTGGCGGCAGCCAATAACACTCTGTTGAAAGGGGAGGGAAGGAACAGATTCCTGCAATGATAAGAAGCAATCTTCTAACACTATCCTCCCTCTCAATATTTCAGCTCTGATGCTAAGTCTGGGGTGAACCAACTCGAAACACTGTGTACACCTGAGAACACTGGGAGAGGGAGAGAGAAGTGGGGTGCAGTGCAGAGAACAGCCACTGAGAACTGCTAAATAACTGCGAACATCTAAGTGAACCGTACTTGTGTGTTTGGGGCCTATGGAGTTAACCCCTCCATTTCCTCACTGCTATTGTGCTTGGCTGAAAAACGAAAACTGCCACCCAAGCAACATCAGTCTCATTAGAAGGAGGAAAACAACCGCATCAGGAAACGTAATGACCCTTTTGAAGGTAGCTGGCTGAGAACCTGTGAATCATTTCAAAATACCCCGTCAGGACAAACCACATCAACACCACATTTAAATAAAAACGCTTCTACACAACCACCAAAAACCAAGTGATGACTTGCCAGAGCTCTAGTTCTCCCTTCTCCATCAGGCCTACCGGTAATGCACGTAATTAATTTTAAAATGGCATGCAGAGTAAGGTACCAATCTGTTCAATGGAGACCTCAGGTCAGGCTACACCTGCAGCTGTCACGAACAGTTTCCTCTCCTAGTGGGTGGGACCTCGGCCCAAAGAACAGAGCAGGAACGCCGGGTGCTGAAGCAGCTGGGGAAGCCCAGAGCAGGGAAGGCCTGTGTCAGCAGACTGGCAGACCCACGGCAGACCTGCGGCAGAGGAAGCGGCACTGCGGCTGGCCACCCTGCCTTACGTTCTGGGAGCTGCAAGCCACGTGTTGCCGCTGGTCTTCACGCGAGGCCCTGGGCAGTTTGCTTCCAGTTCTCCTGCACACCCCGCCTCCGAATGCCGCTCAGAGCACTCCGCATTCTCTGAGACCCAGAGCCAAGGAGGAGTGACAGGCCGCTTCGTCTTCACTGCCCTCCAGCCCGTCCCCTAGGGGGCCTGAGTGCGGCTAGAACTCAGGCGGGGCGGCGAAGCCACACTCAGCCCCTCTACCCTGCGGGCCATTATTTTCTTTCTCCAGGCTCTCTGTGTGGCCTCTCACTGCTCTCTCTGAGAACTACTTTGAGTTTCCCATCAGGAACTCCATTATTCTTCCACATGCTGAGGTTCACTCTAGGGGTCCTGTCGCCACGTTTTCCGTGTCTCTCGACCCCTTTACCTGGGATGCGTTGAGAGATCCATGAGGAGGTGATAAGGAATAACCTCACGTGATCCCACCCAAGATTTGTTTTTAAATCTTGCTTATGGAGACAGTGTTCCTCCAAAGCCCAGCTGTCTGCGCGCCCTATACACATGCAGCTGTGGGCGCTCAGCGTGCATCTGCCTCCTCTTGGGCTGGAGAAAGGAGGCAACAATGGGAAAGCTGCCACCCCCACAGGAAGCAGATTTGGGATGGTCTGTCCCCTGAGCATTCTGGGTACTTCATAGAAGTCCAGGAGTAGGAGAGGGGCTGCCAGCACCAGTAGGGGGAGGACTGGGAGAGAAAGGGGGGCCATCTGGGCAAAACTGCTTGTGCCTCTTGTCTGTGGGAGCGCTGCTTTCTGGTCCTGCCACTCTGTGTCACCTTGCACCCCTCCACCACCCCCCTCTATTGCCAAATACCTCAAGATGTTTCTAAGAGGATCTGAATTATTGACGAACCCAGGGAAGATGCTTTGGAAAACATTAAGTACAAAAACAGACAAACCTGAACGGCTAGTGCAAATACTTGGTCTTTGGCAGTTCCCTTTTTAAGGCCGAAAGAGAAGGGGGGTGGGGGGGTAGAAGCCTGCCTCTGCTAAATGATAATGATATTCACAGAACAACACACAAGGCAACTCCCAAGTTCACCATCTCTCCAGCTTTACTCACCCCTAGCCATCTTGCTCCTTTATTGGCAGCCTGTTGGATCTGGACTCTTTTCAGGGTGACATGGTAAACGGCTCCTTCCTCTACCTCTTCACCCCAGTCCTGAATCGAGCTCTACCAGGGGATGGGAAAAAGAGAAAGAAAAAAGGTTTTGTTTTTCCCCCTCTCTGCAAACCGCAATCTCTCCCAGCTGCTTTGCTGCTTACCCCAGCACTCAAGGCAAAAGACAGGCTGTTCAAAATAAGAATTACAATCAGAGCAATACAAGACACATTGCGATACAGGGACTGCTGAGATTTTCTTGGCCTCCAGCCCTTTCCTGTGGTATCAGGATCCCTGGACTTTTCCATGCAGTTAGTTTTGCTAGGCTCACTCACGTAACTTAAATAAATTTTTAAAGTCTTTTCTTTTTCTTAAAGAAACTGTGGTACAGTCCTGATTAAGTTTTCCCCCTTAAGGGAAAGGAAAAAGAATTCATTGGCAGAAAAAGTTTGTGCTTTTACAAGTGACTCAGTCATCTGAGCGAACTGCATTTTAAACTCCGAGCATTTAAAACGCCAAGAGTCCTCACTCTTCTAGAAGTCAAATCCTTCCCATGACTTTTTCTCCTCGTATTGTTCAGGGACCCCAAAAGTTAGCAAGGGAGCGGTGGGTGGAAAGTTTTTATTTCCAGAAAATCGTCTAGCAAGTGCAGAAAAAGCAACACGTCGTGCAACTTCAAGGAAAACGTGTGCCTGGGCGCCGCGGATTTCCACGACCCCGGCTAAACCTGAAGTTTGTGTTAAAGAGCCGCTGGGGCACAGAAGCGCTGCGCGGTTCACCCAGACCATCAGTTCTTTTTCCTTAAAAGTTTTCCGTCCTTGACATAGATCTGCCCCAGACACACCAAAGGCAAGTGCTGAAAAAGTAGGTATCGCTGAGAAGGGAGGATACACGCAGCGCGAAAGGCATACAAAGCAGAGTGCGAAAGCTTTAGCTCACAAGTATGGGACCGGATTGCTCCGTTCACTCCGAGTGAGTCCAAAACACGCCCAGAGAAAGCGGGAGAAGATTCCCCACCAGAGAAGCCTCGGGAGAAGGCAGAGAGTTCTCGTTACCATTTTAGCTTGCCAAAGCAATTTCATTCTCAGTTTTCCCTTCGGTACGGGGACGCGGCATGACGCGCCCTGCTCCCAGGCCAAAGCGGTCTCGGCGCGGGTCAGCCCGTGGCACCCCAGGCCCCCGGTGTGCGCGGCCCCCGCGCTCCGAACTCAGACGCGCGCTGCGCCGCCGCCGCCGGTGCGCGCGACTCTGGCCACAAAGGGAGCGCAGCGAGCGAGCGAGCCGCCAGGAGGGCGCCGTAGACTCCTCCCCGCGCCACTCCGCCACTCTGTGATGTAAGGCTTTCCCGTTCGTGCTTGGGTACGCGCTCTCCCCTCCTTCAGTCCCGTGGATAAAGTCAGCGTGCAATAATTTCTCCAGTTGTGGAAGTGATCGGGAAACGGCCCTTTCAAGTTCATCGGGTTTCCCTGACGGTCACCAGCCGCCAAAAAAAATTGGATGCACTGCAGGAGGGAGAGAAGTGTGTGTCTTCTTCCTTCGCGAAAAGACAGAAAGGGGGAGGGAGGAGGGGGAGTGCAAGAAGCATGGGAGGTGAGGGTCAGAAAAACATCTGCTATCTGCCTGTTACTGAATTTTGATAAAATCATGGTCACCCCAATGAATGTAACAACACTAAGGAAGTTCTTTTTTTTTTTTCTTTTAAGGAAAAAAAAAAGTTGCCCAGAGAATGTACCAGAATCTGTGCCCAGGGGCTGAACCCTGCCCCACATCAGCCCTGTACCAACAGGAAAGAACTCGGGACTTCTACCTCCCATACAAACCATAAGGCTCAGCCCACAGTGTGTGGCCATGGTGGGAGGGAAGAGAGACAAGCAGAGAAGGTTCCAGCTGAGACGGACAGCCAGAAAAGTGGGCCAACGGTGGCCCTGGAGGGCATGTGAGTCTTTACGAGTTGTCATGCCCTCCAGGGACACTGGGCTAATAGCCACAAGGCGGGGAGTTGGGGAATGCCATTCATGAGGGGCCTGCCAGAGGGAGTTTTGTCACAACAGAAAGATCTGCTGTCAGAACAAAAGATTATGGCCATTTTTAGATCCAGCGTTAAGAAATCAACAAGATGCCAGATGATAATGTAATCAAACTCTGGCATGTGACAGGATTCCATGCCGATGATAACACCTTTAGGGCTCATGTCTTGTATGCTCTTCACCCCAAAATGAATTTAATTGCCTTTAGTGTTCTTAAGACCTCTCACTAATTGCCATGGTAAGGCATAAGGCAGGCTTTGGTTAATAATAAATACCTCAGGAGCTGAAAAACTAGAGAATCACATGCACTAATGTTCCCAGAAGGGCAGGACGACACTGAGCATGCATCAAGGGAAACAGCAGGATCTTTGGACACTTGAGGACAGCTTGAAGTCTCTCAGCTAATCCTCCTGTAACCGCCAGGACAGCGCCTCCAGTGTCCTGAGGAAAAGCATGTGGAAGCTAAGCCCTCCCTCCTCACTTCTTAAGCGATCCTCAGGCCTCCAGGCCCACCCCTAGAGAACCTATTCAGTGATTTTGGAGACCACAAGATGCACCTGAGGACAGTTCAGTAGCCCATAAGATTAATTTCACCCTCACTTGAACTTGATTTCTGGCTGTAAATTTGGAGATGGCTGGAGATTTTCCACTTCAAGGATATCAAGCAGTTTCTTTGATCTCACCCCTCCCAGGAAGCCTTCCTGGACAGGAAATCTTATAATTCAACATCTCAACACCATCTCTGCAGCCCACCCCCCATTTCCCTGGCTGGCCACCTGGCGTGGAGAGAGAAAAGACCAGGCTTCCAGCAGACCCAGCTTCGAATCCACGCTCACATGAAGAGGGACCCTGGGCTCTGCTTCCCTGAACTTTAACTTCCTCATCTGCAAAGTGGGACAAACATCTACCTCATAGAGTTGGAAGAGGATTACATGAAATATGTTTGCAAACCATCTAGCATATGGTAAGTGACCCAAAAACTTCCATTCCCTTATTATTGCACTAACTCCCAAACTATTTTCCCAGAGTCACTGAAGTTGTGTATGTACGCCATGTGGCAAAATCTAAAGTGACGTTTTCTCACTGAAGTTATCATGTCAGAGAGGTTTTTCCAGGAATAACCACTTGTATTTATACCTGACAATGGATGTGATTCCATCCAAAACTGGTAAAAAAAATGGGGAGTGGGGTGGGGGCTGACGTTATACAAGATAGAGCAAGCTAGTATTACAGTTTACAATTTTTTAATATTTCTTTTTAAATTTGTCACCTCAGGCAGCTCAGTCAGTATTACCTTCTTACACCTACCTTTAGGTTAAAATATTGTTCTCATGGTCAATATATGAGATGGATAAACCAATAAGTCATTTATAACTCAGTTTGAATTATTTATCAGATGAGGGTACCCATGACCTAGCATGCCCCTAAGAAGGTAGGTCAAGTTTAATTGAAAGGAGATCACTGGTCAAGCTGGAGGCATAGGCAGACATGCTTCACCTCCTTGCACAACCACAAAAAGAATTACAACTGACTTCAAAACAAAAAACACCCAGAAGTGCCAGAAAATTGAACTGTATATAAGTCCAACAGCCAAGGATTTAAAGAAGCCATATTCGTCCAGATGGGTAGGAGGGGCTGAGATGCAGAGTCGGGGCAGAGGGGATGCAGTATGATATGGAGACGCAGTAGAACAGGAGGTCCCGAGTTCACGTATAGTGGATAAAAATCAGGAGGGATGCCTTGGGAGAAAGCAATTCCAGCCCTAGGCCAGACTGCACAGCCCGGGGTTCCAGTACCAGGAAGATAAAGCCTCATAACTTCTGGCTATTAAAAACCAGTAGTGTTTGGGGCAGCAGAAGAAACTGGCAGTTTCATGGAAGAGTCCATTTAAAGAGCCCACACAGACTTAGAACATATGCAAACCCACCCACTCTGGAAATCACCACCAGGGCAACAACTAGAAGGGCACCAGTTGCATATGGGGAGTGGGGGAAGTGACTGGTAACAGGAGGAGTGCCAGATAAAACTCCAGAAGTCAGGCAGCAGCACTGTCCCCTCTCAGACCCGGCCCACCACACAGAGCCACAAAGTGGTGAAGCAGGTTGCCCTGCCCTGGCAAAAACCTAAAGATCCTCCATACAACAAAACAGGTGCATTAAGACAGGGAGTCAGAGCAGCTCCACCTAATACACAGAAACAAGCACAGGGAAGCTGCCAAATTGAGGAGACAAAGAAATATGGCCCAAATGAAAGAACAGAACAAAACCCTAGAAAAAGAACTAAATGGAACAGAGATGACCCACCTATCTTATACAGAATTCAAAACACTGGTGATCGGGATGCTCAGAGAACTCACTGAGTACAGCAAAAACATATGGGGAGAAATGAAGGTTACACTAAATGAAACAAAGAAAAATCCTCAGGAACCAACAGTGAAGGTAAGGAAGCCAAATTCAAACCAATGATTTCAAACATAGGAAGAAATAAACATTCAAGCAGAATAAAAAGAAGAAACAGGAATTTAAAAAAGTGAAGAGAGTAAAGAAGATTCTGGGACATCTCCAAAAGTGCTAACGTCCAAATCATAGGGATGCCAGAAGAAGAAGAGGAAGAGCAATAATTGAAAATTTATTTGAAAAAATAATGAAAGAAAACTCCTAATTTGGTGAAGGAAATAGGCATACAAGTCCAGGAAGTACAGAGAGCCCCAAACAAGTTGGACCCAAAGAGGACCACACCAAGACACATCATAATTAAAATGACAAAGGTTAAAGATAAAGAGAGAATCTTAAAAGCAGCAAGAGAAAAGCAGAGAGTTACCTACAGGGGAGTTCCCAGAAGACTATCAGATGATTTCTCAAAAGAAACTTTTCTCAAAAGAAACAGGCAAGAGGTCTTCAAAGTGATGAAAAGCAAGGCCCTACAACCAAGATTACTTTATCTAGCAAAGCTATCATTTATAATTGAAGGGCAGATAAAATGCTTCCCAGACAAGGAGAAGCTAAAGGAATTTATCATCACTAAGCCATTATTACATGAACTGCT